TAAATTTTTAGCATCCGCTTTAGATTAGATTTATATTTTTTAAAAATACCAGAAACACAAATACAAGAAACAGGGTGCTTAGACATTTCAGCATTTCCAGAGAAACAAACATGGCGGGCGTTGAAAATCGCATTTTCTCTAACCTATTTTAATTTTAAAAAGATACCAAAGGAAGCAAAAAGAAAATTAATGAAGGCTTAATTAATATTTGTCAAAGATGGTGGATGAAGAAAATTCATTAATTATCGTATCAGGAACCATTAAATCCTAAATAACTCATGCAACACAAACAGTAAACAAATGTTTAAAAGGGCACACTTATCCAAACTTCCTTTTGATTTCTCTTGAAAAACCGACAGCTAATGGAAAGAGACAAACAAGACGCAATAACTCTAGCCAAGAACAACAAACGATTTAGACATAAGTGTTTCTCATAATTTGTGAAACCTCTAAATGAACCTTATAAACACTTTAAGAAAAACAGCTGATTCAGGCTATGAAAAGAAAACATTTTTTTATTATTTTCGTACTTTTTTTAAGCCACTTATTAAATGTTTTTGTATTCGGAAGTTTGATTATTTTTATTTCTTTTTTTTATGTTTTCGGTTTAGAATATTTTATACCTTTTCTCTATTTATAAAAAAAAAAACACTTTAACATTGTTAATAATGCATAATTAATTTTCAATGAACATAATTTTTAATCTCAAATAAATTTTTTTATTTATTTTTTTATTGAATATTAATACATTCTGCCACATTGAAGGGCATTAATATTAAGGCTACATGATTCATTCACACAATATGTACATACAATTAATATCAATAATAAAGAGAAAGAAATATAAAAAATAAAATAAAATAAGTAAATTGGTATGCCTGTGTACAAAAAAAAATAATGAAATAATAGATAAAAGCTAGATGAAATTAAAGTAAATAAATCACATTCACACCTATGTACAATATTTACATTCACCCAGGGGACTCTGAGTCATGCCTTATTCCCCGACGTGGAAGCCAAGGCAGGACTCAAGGAGATCCCAGTGCTTCTCTCTCAGCCGCGTCACTGTTATTTGAAACCAGTGGAAACTGATGGAGGGCACTATAGCAACAGACGCTCATGTCTTGAGTGGAGAATCTGGCCATTGCCAGCACTCAAATATATACATATTTACAAAAGGTCGCGGGGCCACTGCCGTTTTAGCCTCCGGGGAGGATTGTAGGGATTACTGGAGCTTGATAGGGATTGTGCTACAGGATTTGGATGATGAATGAGTTTCTGGTGAAATTTGGAAAAATTTTCTGGGATTAGGTCAATAACAAATGGCATATGAAGGTCATTATGGAGGGTTTTGTTGGATACATAGAAGGGAGCATCGACTATTGTTCGGAGGATTTTAGACTGGAAGGATTGAATGCGTTTGATGTTAGAAAGTTTTGCTGTCCCCCACAGTTCTATTCCGTAGGTCCAAATAGGTTTCAGGATTGTCTTGTAGATTAATAGTTTGTTGTCGACTGAGAGTTGAGATTTTCTATTCAATAGTATATATAGTTCTCCGTATCGTCTGTTAAGTTGTTGTCTTTTAAGTCTGGTGTGTGGGTTCCATGTTAGTCTTTTGTCTAGAATAAAGCCAAGATACCGGACTGTGTCGGACAGAGGAAGTGGTATGGAGTTGAAGTAGATTGGTGGACAGGAATTGCGTCGAAGGGTAAAAGTAATATGTTTGGATTTGGATTCATTTACTTGGATTCGCCACTTATTACACCAGTGTTCAATAAGAGAGAGGTGACTTTGTAGGTTTAAGGATGCTATTTCAGGATCTGGATTGGAAGATAAGATGGCTGTGTCATCAGCGAATATTGCCAGGATTGTTTCAGGATGAGTAGGAATATCAGCGGTAAACAGAATGTAGAGGAAGGGACCCAAGACGCTGCCTTGAGGAACTCCCGCCTTGATTGAATGACAGTTGGAGGATTCTGTACCATAGCGAACTTGAAAGGAGAGGTCAGAGAGGTAGGATCGGACGATAAGATATAAGGAATGGGGTAGATTGGATTTGAGCTTGAAGAGCAGTCCGGCGTGCCATACCCGATCAAAAGCCAGGAATGCCCCCGAACAGTACTCTTTGCTTTCTAGGGCTGAGGATATGTGGTCAACAAGTCGGAGTCCTTGTTGGACAGTGGAATGTTGGAAGCGAAATCCAAATTGGTGGGTTGGAAGGTTTTGGGATTCTATTATGGGTAGGATTCTTTTCAGTAGGATTTTTTCGAAAATTTTGGAAAGGATTGGGAGTAGGCTAATTGGTCTATATGATGATGTATTATTGGAAGGTTTGCCAGGTTCAAATAAATTATGATTTTAATAGTAAAATTACGTTACACCTACATATTGTATCAACTTTGTGTGGAAATAAAAATAGTTTTTCTTTATAATTGCTGATAAAAGCTCAAATTAACATTGAAGTTTTAATTATGAATCACAACATATTAACTATGAAGGCAAGATGTAAATTTATAGATGAAAATAAACAACAACAAATAATTATATAGGAAAAGGAGTGGCTGAAACTGTTTATTAAATAATTAACTGCGAAGCTGTTTATAGGTTGCAACAGTGTAATGGCTGGTGATTCATTTAAACATAACACTGTAAATATGTATATCAATTATTAGATCGTTCTTCATTTTTTTTCTTTATTTTCAATTTTTTATTATTAACTTATTTAAGCTAGAAGTAACTTATAATTTTTTAATGTGACTATTTCATTACTCAGCATTTTTTTATGTATCTCTGAGGATACTTAGCCCATATTACTGTTCTTATGTATTGTTCTAAAGGGACTCGTCCCAGAATAAATAAAGTATTATTATTATTTTATTTGTCAACACTTTTACAAAAGGTTTTTTTTTGTTTACTTGAGAGGGGGAGAATCAACTCCAACCACCTCAGGTATGTTCAATTTTAATTTCTATTGAATGTTGAGAAAGCTTCTTACAATTCTGGCAGTATTCAGCAGCACCGCTTTCTTATCTGCATTTATTACATGAGTTGGGAGGCCCAGCCTGTCAGTAGCTTCCACAGTAGACACAGGTATCAGGCCATTGCTGGAGATCACAACGCCCCTAACGGTTACTTTATTAAGTTTATACAAACTTTTTAACTCAGCTGCTAGACCTTGATATTTCCGAATTTTTTCTGCACAGACTGAGTTAATGTTTCCGTCATTTGGCACAGCAATATCTATAATTTCAGCCACCTTAATGTTGCCGTCAATTAACACAATATCAGGTCTGTTGTGGATCACGAGATGGTCTGTTATAAACGATTGATTCCAATATAATTTTAAGCCATCTTTCTGGCAAATACTTTTAGGGCAATATTTATAGTAGGGCATCGAGTCGTTTAATAATTTAATTTTTAGACCAATCGCCTGGTGATAGACTTTGGCAACATCGTCATGTCTTTTTAGGTATTCTGTACCTGCAAGAGTTCCGCAGCCTCCAGTTATGTGTTGGATGGGTTCATATGTGCTTGCACAGAGCCTATATTTGTCCGATACATTCTGTTGCTTCAAGACGTGTCGCCAGTAGGATCTGGTAGCTATAACCTGGTCCTGGATTGCAGTTAAAAAACCTTCAGTCTCGGGGAACAGACTTCCTCCTACCAGCCAGCTAACAGACAAAGATTTATCTATTTCAGTCTGCTGAAGCTGGTGAAAAAACCTTCCATGTAATGCTTTTGACTTCCATTCTTCCAGGCGGTCTTTGTCGGTAACAAAGATTGGCGCAGTTTCATGAGAGGCTAATTGTAGAGAAGTGTGCCCGCGATCGAGATCGATTGCAGATTATTTTATGGCACGGCACTGCGCTTTGTTTAAAGTACTCCCTTAGGTTCTTTTCTTGACTTCGACAAGACTCTTCAATATTTGTAAGACCTCTCCCTCCTTCCTTTCTTGGCAGGTAAAGCCTTGCCATAGATGCAGTCGGGTGGTGCATTCTGGAACCCGTCATACTTGTTCTTATTAATCTATCCAATTCCTGGAGTGACGTTGTGGACCATTTTAGAATTCCAAAGCTGTAAGATAAGGAAGGAATAACCCATGTATTTATAGCTTTTATCATTAAACCTGAAGAAAGATGTGTTCTAAGGATGATCTTTAGTCTTTTTTTAAATGAAGCAATCTATTTACATTTTACATCCTTTCTAGCTATTTTTAAATGCTGTTCTATCCCTACATATTTATACATATCTTCTTTCTGAAGGCTCTTAATATGATTAATATTAATTACACTTGAGTGTAATTGCATTTGATCTAAGATTTCGTAAATTATACTTTCGCTTGCACAGTTTTTAAGAAGAGGAGAGCAATGAAATATCTGGGATGGATAAATGGTAGATTCATGCGCTATAGACCCTGCTGTAAATAACATGATTCTATTGAGTGAAAAATTCGTTTTTACTTTTACTTTGCAGAAACGAATTCCGGACCCATAACCTTTATGTTTAAGCTATGGGGCTATGATGAAAAATAAGATATTTTTTATTATTCCAAGGAGATGCAAAAAGATCATTTCAATTTTACATCTCAATATAGTGGAGAGTCTATTAGAGAGACTGTTGGAGGAATCTCAGGGCCATAGAACATTCTATGGTTAAACAAAAAGAAAATGAATAAAAATAATTATTTGAGAAGGTGGTCGGTGGGTGGGGTTAAAAAAATACTAAATTTTAAAAAAACAGTATTTTTAATTATTTTCCCGACGTTTCGACCCACCTTACAGGTCTTCAACGGGGTGTTGCATCAGGCACTGCAGGAAGCAGTTAATCGACTGTCTATGAGTCGAAATGTCGGCGAAACTATTCAAAATACTATTTTTTAAAAATTTAGCATTATTTGGCCGCACCCCCGACCAACTCCTTTTACGGATCAACCATCTCTACATCATTAAAAATAATTATTTGTTTATATTTATGATTTGGTTTAATATCTTATGTTATAGATGGCAAAGTAACGCTTTGTTCAAGAAGTGGGCATCAATCAGAACATTGTATAAGGAATGGACTCAACGCAATAATTTCGTCTCTGGTCAAAAGTAAGTAGTTAACATAATTTAATATATATATATATATTTTTTACAGTAATATCGAGGTCTGTTAAAGTTGGTGTTAATTTCGTAAATGTGAATAGAAATTTATTATAAAGTTTTCATCCTGGATTTACTTCTTTTCCTTTTAGTGAAATGGAATGGAATGTAAGAAAAGATGCGGACGGAAGCCGGAAAATGTTGAACAGAATAGGATAATAATCTGCTTACATAGTTACCGTAAACATGAATAGTTGTCACACTTCATGTATTCATGTATTTTAAAATGAAAAAACAGGACTGTGAAGGCAGAAATTGAAATTATTAATTAATCAAAAAGACCTATAGTCTCTCCACTTCTTTAAACTCTGCTGAGTTTATCGCTGGCAAAATAACCAAAATAAGATTGGACATTGAGTCACCTACATCCGTGGAAGATTAGAACTTGATCTGAATATTGTGGCGGGCGGGGTGAAATTTTGGAGTTTTTTTTTTTCCGATTTCCTGCTAATCCGTTTGGTTAATCCTAAAAATCTATACACCATTTTTTAGGCTCGGGAAGTTGAATCGAATAACACCTTCAAAGGGAAGATCGAACAAAGTTGAAAAATGAGTGTGTTTTACCCGTTTTATGTGAAAACATATTACAGATGTTCGGTATTCCGGATTTTTCACGTTGAGTTGTGATAATTTTTTCCATCAGATGGGCAGTACAACTTTTAAATGTGGCTCGTGATAGAGTAGGTTGGGATTAGAATAGAAGGATCTCTAAACAAATTACTTAAGAATTCATTACTTTCGTTCTACTCAATATTTTGTTTTCATTTAAAGCCTATATTTTAAGTCTAGCACACCTAAATGTAATGTCAAAATTTCAAAAGTCTACCATTAGCCATTGCCGAGCTCACCCCGGACAAAATTTCGTTGTACAATGCGGACATCCAGACAGACAAAAAATTTGTTAAAAGTGGATTTGGTGTATGTAATGTATATAACGGAAATATACCATAAAACAGGTTGATTCTATTCAATGTACAGACAAAACCTTTAATTTCTTTATATAGATGTTCTTTAATCTATAAAACATATGTTTATTATTAACATTTATTATCAACATTAACCGAGATCTCTAGACAAATTACTCAAGAATTCATAACTTTGGTTCTACTCAATATTTTGTTTTCATTTAAAGCATTTTTTAAGTCAAGAAAACCGTAATAACCCTTTGGGAGCTAGGGCCCAAAAATCGACCTGATCGCAGGCGAAGGTTTGATTGTAAATTACGAAAGTGTATGTTATTCTGAGTAAAATGAACCTTGTCTGCCTTTCCAGAACCGCTGCTTTCAAAAATGGCGGCTGATTTAAAGAATATTAGGCCAATAATTTGAGGATCGGAACGAGAAATCCATTGCGAAAAATGTGAGAAAAGTTTTTATTTTATTGACTTGTATATTGTGGTTGTAGCACCCTTACTCAATCTCCGCTGGCCTTCAATGCCAGCTTATATAAGGTTATAAGCTCAGCAATGGCTTATTGTAGACTATTGAAATTTTGACATTATATTATAGCCCTGGAGCCAGAGCCCAAAAATCGACCTGGTCACAGGCAAATGTTTGATTGTAAATTACGAAAGTGTATGTTATTTGCAGTAAAAAAAAAAACCTTGTCTGCCGTTCCGCAGCCGCTGCTTTCAAAAATGGCGGCTGATTTACATAAGCTTATAACCCCATGACAAAATTTCGTTGCAATGCGGACATACAGACAGACAAAAAGTTTTTAAAAAGTGGGTTTGGTGTCTGCAATGTATGAAACGGAAATATACCATAAAACAGGTTGATTCTATTCAATGTACAGACAAATCTTTATTTTATTTATATAGATTATACCATCTTGATAATTTTACAATCTCCCTTGCATGCCACCAATTAGCCATAGATACAAATAGTAAATTTTTAAACACGATATCTTTTGAAAAGAAATTCAATAAAAATTATATGGTTCAATCTAGGATACTACAGTAGGGGGTCTGTGGTATCTAACCTTTAAATACACAATTCATATATTTTTAAATTGATCGGTTCCCTTCTGGAACTCATATAAATACAAATATAAGTATCAAATACATTGAATAGAAATAAATGCGGTTCCTGGAACAAAAGATACTGCAGAAGCGCATGCAGAAAACTGGAAAATAATAGCCCATGGTTTAGTAATTACAGAGACGGAGAATGCTTGTTAAGGCGGCAAAATACCTGCAAGGTCTGTATAGCCAACAGGAAAAACAAAAAATAACTAAATTAAAGAACTAAGGCATGTGCTCTAGACCACGCGATAGAAGTGAACACATCAACAAAGCGAGATTAATAATATGAAATATAAATTATAAATAATAGCTCATTATAAAGAGGATGAAATGCTGAACAATTTCCTCGCTTACAGTATGCAGGTCCAATTTTTAGATTATGAAGTATTTTTTTTATTTATTTCTTTATGACATTTACAACTGTATTACATAAATACATAATTGATATAATGACATGAATACACTTGCTGAGTAACTACCCAATGGTAGCACTCTAATGATATGATGATGACTACATTAGGAGATCACTGGGCCATCTTCTTTTCAGACGCCTCGGAGGGTAATCAGGAATTGAAGAGGAAGCAAGGTTAGAAACGAGAGGGTTGGGATGATTCTGAAGTTTATTATGGAAGGATAGGTATCTGGATTGGGCCAGATCTGAAACATAAGGAACATTAAGATCTTTATGGATAATTTTATTAGTGACAAAGTAAGGAGTATTGAGGATTTTACGAAGAATTTTGGATTGTAAGGATTGGATGCGAGAGGAATTCTATGGTTTAGTGGAGCCCCATAGCTCAACTCCGTAAGTCCAAATAGGCCTTATTATAGTGAAGTATATGAGTCTTTTGTAATTAATGGGAAGTTTAGAGCGTTTGTCTAGTAAGTGCTGAAGTAATCGGAAACGTCGAGCGGTTTCTTGTCGTTTCAGTCTAGTATGAGGATTTCAAGTGAGACGTTTGTACAGGTGGAGTCCTAGGTATCGGATTTGCTCAACAGGGATAAGTGGAGTATTGTTAAAGGAAACTGTAGGACAGGAAGTCGTTGGTTTACGACGAAGGGTAAAGGTAATCTGGTGGGATTTATTGGAGTTTATTTTAATTCTCCAGCTTTGAGACCATTCTTCTAGATTTATGATGTGTGATTGAAGCATTTGGGATGCAATTGCTGGGTCATTGTTTACTGATAGGATACATGTGTCATTGGCATATGTGGTGATGACAGTCTTGGGACAGGTAGGGATGTCAGCTGTATGAACTGTATAGAGGATAGGACCTAGGATACTACCTTGAGGAACACCAGCGGAGTGAGAAAAAAGGGATGAATAGGCGTTATTGTGATTTACTTTAAAGTATCTATCAGTAAGGTAGGAACGGATAATGAGGAAGTATGTAGGTGGTAGGAATTTTCGGAGTTTGTACATCAGTCCCGGATGCCAAACTCTATCAAACGCCTGTTCAACGTCGAGAAAGACTCCCGTACAGTACATTCCGCGCTCCAATGCAGAGGAGACTACGTCTACCACAAGATGACATTGCTGTATAGTGGAATGAGGTATTTTAATCCCCAAAACACATCAATTAGTCGACAACAGCCGACTTTGTCCGAGCGTTATACATAAAAAAGCAGACGGTTCAGTCTAATTTACTTTCTACAAAAAAGTACAAAACTTACCTAAAGAAGTATTCACTGCAAAAAAAAAAAAAAAAAAAAAAACGTTGATAGTTCCCTAATTTAGAGGCAAGATTGCAGAAGGTGTGTAACGCTTGGTCTGGTTTGAACTCATCACGTTTCGAGTTGAAATCTTCCATTCGTTTGATTAAAATTAGGTTATTTAAAAAAAAAAGTCCCTGTTTCTCTTCCGTTTTTCAACCTTTTTCTTTTTAAATGGAAACCTTTTAAAGGAGCGTTTTTCACTTTTTTTGTATCGAGTGAATTAGATCGAGCCATCACATCTTCGATATGTAACACTCCGGTAAAGTCGGCTGGAATCGACTAATTGAAGTGTTTCTGCATATGGATTAAAATATCTTAAAAAATAAAAATCGAACCTGCATATTGTTAGCGAGAGAAATGTTCAGCGTTTCATACTCTTTGTAATGACCTATTATTCAAAATTGTATCTCAAGGAGACGCCTTGTTAGAAAGGTGAAAAAGAAAAAATAGTGTCGAAAACCAAATGATAACGAGTTTTATTGAAGATGAATTAAAGTATCTCATAAACTAAACATCGGACCTGCTATTATTTATAATTTATATTATGAATCTCGCCTAGTTATATTCACTTCTATCCTGTGGTCTAAGCACACACCTTAGTTTTTTTTTATTAGTAGGTACTGGTGAGCTTTATCAATAAAAACAATGTACATAAATAATAAAAATGAAAATTTTAGTTTGTTAATAAGCGCTAATCTTCGAAGTTCTTCACCCATTGCTATGAAATTTTGATAGAAAGTTACAATAAAATTTAGAATTGTTTTTATATACTTTTCATTACCATCTGGCCTTTCGTTTCGAAATGGCAGCCGAAAATTTAGTGTCGCGATAGATTATAATTATATAATTTTAAATAAATGTTTAAATAATTTTCGTATACAGCATACTTCTCCAAAAATAGGCTGGAAAAAAATTAACCATGGTTTCATAATTTTATTTACGAATAACACAAGAAGTATACACAAATTGAACTATTTTGTATTTAAGTACATATTAAAGTTTATGTGCGAATGTGTAAGAGTAGGAAAAAAAATTGAAACCAGCAAATTTATATATATTGGGTTGGCAAATAAGTCCTATTGGTTTTTCTGTTTATTTTTATTTCACTATGATACACTTAAAATCTGATGAATTAATCCCCAAGGTGGATTGTTTATCCTGTTTGTAATACGTCGACAATTATATTTGTTAACTCTTTTTAAAACTAACT